AATAAAGAAGTTTAAAAGCATATGGTGAAGCCACATAAGCATCCTACATGGATGTTTTGTAAATTTTGATTGGTTTATACAAATCTTCATTAGAAACATGAATACTCAATTAGATTATCATTAATTTTTATACATAAAAAATAGTTTAAAAATTAATTGATTGGGATGATGACAAAAATTATCCATAAAAAATTAAAATTTAAAAAACTCATCTTTATTATATAATAGTTTTACATTATTGAGATCTTTATTTTATTATATATATACATATTAAAATTTTGTATCTTTATTATTATATAAAAATTTTATTTTCACATTAGTTTTACAGTTTTATCGTTATATATATCGTTTCCTTTTCTAGATTAATATTAATTTTTACGCATAAAAAAGAGTTAAAAAAATTGATGTGGGAAGATCACAAAAAATGTCAATAAATTATTATAATTTTAAAAACTCATCTTTATTATATAAAAAAATTACTTTAACTTTCATTTTATGATGTAGAAATATTCAATGTCTTTAAAGCATTCGTTATAATTTTCAAATATATTTACATCTATTCCATGTAGTTAATATTTAGTGGGGTTAAAAATTAAATGCAAAACGGTCGTTATGACGCTCGAATGTCCATTACATTTATTGACTATTGTTTTATATTCTTGTCCGTTCGACTATTTCTCTTGTATAACAGTCTTCTACCATTGGCACCTCTTAGAAAACAGTAGGAAAAAGCGCTCTCAGAATTAAAATCCATTAAAAAAATCCCAAACATTTTCCTTCCCAATCAAGCCCTGAACCCTGATAATCTCTCGGACAACTCCAACGTCCGTCATTTCTCCGGCGTCTCGACAGGTCTATCAACTCCGTTTCCCGATTCAACTCCATCTCAACTGTTTCTTTGCGAAATCTGAGCTGGAATCTGGTTTTGTTAGGTATCTCTCGTACTTCGATCCACAAGAGACGTGCAATTGGTGGGAAGCAGAGACAATGGAGAAAAACCAAAAATGAGTGCTCCTTTCTCTGCCGCTCCATGGCAGAAAATCTGATTTTAAATTGTCGAAGTTGCGATAGTGATATATGGGTAAGTGCAGGAAACAAATTCTGGTTAAAAAAAAAGTAGAAAAATATTGGAGACGAGATCCTCTTTTTTCCCTCTGTTTCAATGAGTAGAGAGAGCGTTGGAAAG